CTGTTATTAGCCCATGTGCCTCACGTTAATAATTTGGTCCCTTTCCCCCTCATAACTTAGCCTACTGTTCTGACTTGGTGGTGCACATGTAGCCTATAGCCTGTTTTAAAGAAATGTAATCATCAAATATTGTTAGAGCTTTCATTGTCTGCTTATATGCACCCTTTATTTATCCTACGGTTCTGACTTGGTGTACAGGGAGAATACTGTAAGAACGGCCCATGTTCTGATTTCTGTTGCTGTACATTTCAATAGTGCTGAACAAATAGTTATATTGACTACGTCCGTCCTAGCTCGCTCATTAATGTCTTAATTGAAATTACGGATTGCCTCTTATACGCTCATTGTTCCATTATGCCATAGTTTGTACATCTCAATTGTCAGTAGAAACCTCATTTGTTTAAGCAAGTGAGCCATATCAGCTATGTTTTTTTTAAAAGGCTATAAATGAGGCTGAATGAACTGTCTCCCTGCCAGACAGGGCTCTGCTGATTGCCAGGTGTAGCGGTGGTAAGGATTCACTCCATGGTGCTGAAAAGAAATCGCCACTGGTTGATGTGTAAAGCAAAAAAAATAATCCAGCTTGCACAGCAAGATATTTCGGAGGAATTTAGAGCAGACCGAAATGGCTTGTTAACTTGAGCTAGCTAACCAGCTAGCTAGCAAACATTAGCCAGCTAGCTAGGTTAGCTAAGAACACATGCAGCGATTCAACCTTGTCTAGCAATAAAGATATTTATAAACAAATCAAGGTAGCTACCCAGCAGCTTCTGAAAATAGTATTCCACTTCACAGCAGCTTCAAGAAGATATTTACTAAAACAGTCTGAATTTAATGTCTCTCAGCCGACAGCATGAGGTTGGCACCTGAAACGGATCATTTGAATATACAGTAGACATAAGCTATTAATGTAAAGAAATACAGTATGTTAGAGTCATTTTTATAGGACGCTTCCAATTACAGTTAATGACAGTATTTTCCAGCATTTTACCTATAATGCAGTGCAATCTACAACACATTAATGCTGTAAAACACATTTAGGCCTATGGTATTTTGCTGTGCATTCTACAGGGTTTTACTGTTGAAATTACAGAAAAGTCTTACAGTGTAGGCTGTACATTAAGCTGATTCTGTTTTTAAAAGTTTTGCCTGAGGCCTCCTGAGTGGCGCAGCAGTCTAAGGCACTGCATCGCAGTGCTTGAGGCATCACTACAGCCCCGGGTTCGATCCCAGGCTGTGTCACAGCTGGCCGTGACCGGGAGACCCATGAGGCGGCGCACAATTGGCCCAGCGTCGTCCGGGTTAGGGGAGGGTTTGGCCAGCCGGGATTTCCTTGTCCCATCGCGCTCTAGCGACTCCTTGTGGCGGGCCGGGTGCCTGCAAGCTGACTTCGGTCGCCAGCTGGACAGTGTTTCCTCCGACGGTGCAGCTGGCTTCCGGTTTAAGCAAGCAGTGTGTCAAGAAGCAGTGAGGCTTGGCAGGGTCGTGTTTCGGAGGATGCATGGCTCTCGACCTTCGCCTCTCGCGAGTCCATAGGGGAGTTGCAGCGATGTAACTACCAATTGGATATCACGAAAAAGGGATAAATAAAAGGTTTGCCTGTTGTGTACCGCACACATTTTATGAAGCATCTTACCTTGTTTCAAAGTAGGTTAGCTAAAATCAGACCATATGTTGAGCTATTTATTTTATAAACACTTCCTTATGCTATTGAAACCAGCATTTTCTATTGTTCTATTGGTTTTCCAAATCAATGTTCTTTCATTGTCCAGCAGGCAACGACCTAGTCATATTAGAAACCCATGCTAGTTGTTACATCTTTAGATCTCCCCTCTTTCAAATTTCTAATGGATATTTTCATCTCTGTCACATGGAACCCTTTTTAGAACAGTGTGTTCCCGCTAATTGCATTCTGGAACATTTGCGTGTAGCCTACTGCCGTGTGCACATTGCTGTGCTTATAATGTGAAGAAAATAATAGTTTATCAATATTCTGATCTGTTGTATTAGTTTAATTGCTTTTTTTGTATGAATTTTGGATCTATCATCCAAGAACTGTCCCAGAGTCTGTTTGAACCATACCAGACATATCTTTTTTTATCGTCCTTGGGAGCCCTGTCTACATCCTCCGAGAGAAAGCACATTGTTCGAGCCTCTCTCCCTCTCTGAAACGGTTGGATGATTATTTATCAGTTTCTCTCCCTTGCTGTGTTGGCTCTAGTAGGTTAATGAGTGATAGGACTGGGGCAGTCAGATACAACGAATGAGGCAAACAGGAATTATGGGGGAGAAGTATGTAGTTAGCTAGTGCTAGTTAATTAGTTTGTTGTTATCACATCACTTGTCATGACTGCCTGCTGCAGCGCTCTCTCAACAACAATGATTGTGCTCAACACACACACAGCCCTCCGGTCCTCCCATTCCCCACCACTCACTGACGCAATTACTCAGCAACAGCCTACCTCACTGCCTGATAGTCAGTAGTAGCAGGCAGGCACGCGACAACAAGTCCCACAAACCATTGCGTTTCCACGTGGCCAGTTCACGCGTTGGTCTGGGTACGTTGCCAAGGAGAAGAGGCTAGCACACACTTTACCAAAACACTAAGGACGCTTCTTGCATTTTATCTTAAGCGCTGTGTACAAGCTCAGAAGCCGAGGAACAACACCCTAAAATTGTGAGTTCTGAGAAAATATTTAAAAAAGAAAGAAAGACCAGCAATAAGAAACGTCTTGCCTGAACAAGAGGGACAGTTGAGCGGACTATAAATATGGGCATATTGTGGACATGATTGAAAAAATACAGTGTTGTGTAGGTTAATTCTAAATCACAAATAGGGCTAAATAACAGTCTCTAATAATTGAAGGCCAGGTGTTTGTCAAATTAAAATATTATTCTATCCCTCAATATTATTTAATCATACATATGTGAGACATTGATATCAACATAGCTTTAAATGTAAAGTTAAATCGAGTTTTATTCATTTTAAATGCAAGACATCCTAACTTATTAGGCCTGTGTCCAATTATATGTCAGTGACAGTTGTTTTTGCCCATAGACTCCTATCAGTGCCAAAAAGGACAGACTCCTCATTCAAAACTCACATTTCTTTGTGGTTATTAGGCTATCGCTATTGCTATCACGGGGCATGTGTGAGTATTTCAGCTTTATTATTGACCTTCAGTAGCTTTTTAATGTCATCTACCCTCCATACATCTTTGTAATTCCTCCTAACCCGTTTCTAAACGATTACAATACTGTGAAAGCTTAGTAGACTCCAGCAATCTGTTACATAGCAATCGGGTCGCAACCCTGCTCGCCATTTATTCACTACCTGTTTTAGACTGAAGCATATTAGCTTAAGAAAATTAGTTTTGTTGTTATAGCAAAGTATTTTCAAAACATTATGGTCTTATTTGATGGAGAGCGGTCTCTTGCCTGTGTCTTGAAATTAAATTGAATGGATCAATCTTATTTAGCCCTAGAAGACATATTTAAAATAGTGGCCTTAACATAAATACAGACAGTACACTGAGTATACCACACATTAGGAATACCTTCCTAATATAGAATTTTGCCCGCAGAACAGCCTAAATTTGTCGGGCATGGACTCTACAAGTTGTTGAAAGCATTCCACAGGGATGCTGGCCCATGTTGACTCCAATGCTTCCCACAGTTGTGTCAAGTTGGCTGGATGTCCTTTGGGTGGTGAACCATTCTTGATACACACGGGAAACTGTTGAGCGTGAAATACCCAGTAGCGTTGCAGTTCTTGACACAAACTGGTGCGCCTGGCACCTACTACCATACCCCGTTACAAGGCAATTCAATATTTTGTCTTGCCCATTCACCCTCTGAATGGCACACGTACACAATCCATGTCTCAAGGCTTAAAAATCCTCCCCTTCATCTACACTGATTGAGGTGGATGTAACAAGTGACATCAATAAGGGACATAGCTGTCACCTGGTCAGTCTATGTCATGGAAAGAGCAGGTGTTCTTAATGTTTTGTAAACTCAGTAGACTTTATCTTGGTATGATTATTTATCCTAGATGTGTCAATTTTGTTGTGCAAATATGGCTTTTTAGAAAGCTGTTGGTGATATGAATATTCAAACTTTCATTCACAATGATTGCCTATAACTGTCTGCATCTGAAATCACCCTGAACAACCAACAAAATAAAAAGTCTGAAAATCAGCCTAAGTGACCAAATGGCCTAGTCGATTGTCCAATGTGTAATCCAGATAAACAACCTGCTTTGAGTTGTATCAGCCCCTCAGAATACAAAACAAAGCAGCTAGGCTCTGGGGTCATAGCTTAAGTGGGCAATGCTGTGTCCATGTCGTAAGTAAGCATGACATGACACGTTTACCTCAAACACAGGTCTTTGTACTGTAGTAGCCTACATGCTGACTACTGTTACTGTGTCACTTGAAATCCTATTGCCAGTCAGGTTCATGACTCGGGAGCTTGGGACAGAGTGAGTGCTGTTAAGTGGTAAGCATGGCGGTGATGTAACGTCCTATTAACATCCCAGTGACCCTAATTACCTGCAGGCCACAGCTGTGTCATGTCCCTGTGTGGTGTGACGAAGGCGTCAGCTCAGGCTCTGATCTCACACACTTAATCCTCCTCCTCAACTCTTTGTCATCGAGGAGGAAGAGAGGATGTTATTTTCTATGGAGAAAGTAAGGCCTATCCTCTCGAAGCTTACACTAGTGAAAGTCCTGTTTTTTGTTATTTATGAATTACTGTTGATAGTATCTTTTTCTATCTTGTTGAAGATATACCAGGATGAGGATGGAGTGTAACATTTGGCTAACCTCCAGTGTGGTGATGATCAGGAGAAAGCAATGGCACTATTCCCGTGTGACCTTCTATGAACCCCATCAGTGAAGCACATCTCCACATGTTGACCAAGACAGTTAGAGGACAAGTACTACCATTTAGGAGAGAGAAATATCCTGCAACTCCTTCAAGCTGATGGTTCTGAGACAATGAATCGCTACACGCAGCTGAATCAGTTAGGAGATGGCACTTGTGGCAGTGTGCTCATGGGGAAAAGCAACGAGTCGGGAGAACTGGTGGCCATCAAGAGGTACGTATAGTCCTACACTGGTGGCCATCAAGAGGTACTTCTCCACTTGTCGATGGCCTGGGTGGTTTGTTTACTAGCATGGCTTAGCCTCGTTTGTTTACTAGCATGGCTTAGCCTTGTTTGTTTACTAGCATGGCTTAGCCTTGTTTGTTTACTAGCATGGCTTAGCCTCGTTTGTTTACTAGCATGGCTTAGCATCGTTTGTTTACTAGCATGGCTTAGCCTAATTTGTTTACTAGCATGGCTTAGCCTCATTTGTTTATTATCATGGCTTAGCCTCGTCGGTTTACTAGCATGGCTTAGCCTCGTTTGTTTGCTAGCATGGCTTAGCCTAATTTGTTTACTAGCATGGCTTAGCATCATTTGTTTACTAGCATGGCTTAGCATCGTTTGTTTACTAGCATGGCTTAGCCTAATTTGTTTACTAGCATGGCTTAGCCTCATTTGTTTATTATCATGGCTTAGCCTCGTCGGTTTACTAGCATGGCTTAGCCTAATTTGTTTACTAGCATGGCTTAGCATCGTTTGTTTATTATCATGGCTTAGCCTCGATGTTTACTAGCATGGCTTAGCCTCATTTGTTTTCTAGCATGACTTAGCCTCATTTGTTTATTATCATGGCTTAGCCTCGATGTTTACTAGCATGGCTTAGCCTTGTTTGTTTACTAGCATGGCTTTGTTCTGAGAGGCCATGGGTACTTGTATTTCCAAGGGGGCATTTTGATGCACAACAGTTCACTACCATCATTAAAAATCACCTTTATGATGACTCATACACCTTCCTGTCTGGCAAAACATTAGCAATAAGGAAATTAAGGTTAAGGTTAAGGTAGGGTTAAAGCAGGGTTTCCCAAACTAGAGGTTGCGACCCCATGTGTGGTCGCCTGATTTGAAAATGGGTTCGTGCGCGAAAATGTGCGCTTGGTTCATAGAACCGGGGTAACGTCAGTAACCTCCGGTAGCCGCTAGATGCGGTTGTAATAAACAGAACGTTTTTTTTCTGTTTTTTTCCTATGAATGTGGCTCTATCTTTTGAACGATTTAAGCTAAAACTACATATTATGACCCCATCGCTGAAAGATAACATGTATGTATGTCCTGTTTCCCTCTACGATGCTCACAAGCCTTTAGAACCGAGTGGACAAGACCAGGCATTCAATCAGACTGGGGGGAAAAGAACATCAATGATGATGTTCTTTTCTTCACAGAAGATCATACAACATTATTGCCTGATGATCTTCTGAACTTCCCAATACCTTTCTGATGCATTTCAGTTAGGGCTGTTGCGGTGACCGTATTACCGCCACACCGGCGGTCACGAGTCGTGAAGGCAGTCAAATTCCACATGGCCGTTTAGTTGCGGTAATTAGGCCAAGCTCCGATGCTGCTGCTGGTCATTAGTAGCCTACCAAACTTGCTAACTGCCTGGTAATCAGCACTCTATTGTCCCTCTAATCACTCTGACATCAATGCAAACGTTTTTTGAAAATCTAATCAAACCCTTTATGAGAGCCCATGAGCTCATATTGCGTAACATTTCTATAGGCTATGCAATTGCGCAAGGAAACAGAGTGATGGGCGCTAATAAAAAGAGGAGGATCCCATGAGCTTTCTATAGGCTAGGCCTACTATATTTATTTCTCAACTTTCCTAATATTAAGCACATTGCTTATATTTACCAGAGGAGTATAGCCTACCTGGCTGGCATGAAAATAAACCACGGGGAAATGTGTCCTCCATTCGCTATTTAAGTGCATAGATGACATTTATTTTTTCCCGCTGCCCGTTTCGATACAGGTGCATGATAATGGTCCATTCTAAATCAAAACAAATGTCACCCATATATTATTTAGTATTCAGTTGGAGTCGGAAGTTTACATACACCTTAGCCAAGTACATTTAAACTCAGTTTTTCACAATTCCTGACATTTAATCCTAGTAAAAATTCCCTGTCTTAGGTCAGTTAGGATCACCACTTTATTTTAAGAATGTGAAATGTCAGAATAATAGTAGAGAGAATGATTTATTTCAGCTTGTATTTCTTTCATCACATTCCCGGTGGGTCAGAAGTTTACATACACTCAAATAGTATTTGGTAGCATTGCCATTAAATTGTTTAACTTGGGTCAAACGTTTCGGGTAGCCTTCCACAAGCTTCCCACAATAAGTTGGGTGAATTTTGGCCCATTCCTCCTGACAGAGCTGGTGTAACTGAGTCAGGTCTGTAGGCCTCCTTGCTCGCACACGCTTTTTCAGTTCTGCCCACAAATTTTCTATAGGATTGAGCTCAGGGCTTTGTGATGGCCACTCCAATACCATGACTTTGTTGTCCTTAACCATTTTGCCACAACTTTGGAAGTATGCTTGGGGTCATTGTCCATTTGGAAGACCCGTTTGCGACCAAGCTTTAACTTCCTGACTGATGTCTTGAGATGTTGCTTCAATATATCCGCATTATTTTCCTTCCTCATGATGCCATCTATTTTGTGAAGTGCACCAGTCCCTCCTGTAGCAAAGCACCCAAACAGCATGATGCTGCCACCACCGTGCTTCACGGTTGGGATGGTGTTCTTCGGCTTGCAATTACCCCCTTTTTCCTCCAAACATAACGATGGTCATTATGGCCAAACCGTTCTATTTTTTTTTCATCAGACCAGAGGACGTTTTTCCAAAAAGTACAATCTTTGTCCCCATGTGCAGTTGCAAACCGTAGTCTGGCTTTTTTATGGCAGTTTTGGAGCAGTGGCTTCTTCCTTGCTGAGCGGCCTTTCAGGTTATGTCAATATAGGACTTGTTTTACTGTGGATATAGATACTTTTGTACCTGTTTCCTCCAGCATCTTCACAAGGTCCTTTGGTGTTGTTCTGGGATTGATTTGCACTTTTCGCACCAAAGTACGTTCATCTCTAGGAGACAGAATGCGTCTCCTTCCTGAGCGGTATGACGCCTGCGTGGTCCCATGGTGTTTATACTTGCGTACTATTGTTTGTACAGATGAATGTGGTACCTTCAGGCATTTGGAAATTGCTCCCAAGGATGAACCAGACTTGTGGAGGTCTACCATTTTTTTCTGAGGTCTTGGCTGATTTATTTTGATTTTCCCATGATGTCAAGCAAATAGGCACTGAGTTTGAAGGTAGGCCTTGAAATACAGTGGGGAAAAAAAGTATTTAGTCAGCCACCAATTGTGCAAGTTCTCCCACTTAAAAAGATGAGAGAGGTCTGTAATTTTCATCATAGGTACACGTCAACTATGACAGACAAAATGAGAAAAATTCCAGAATATCACATTGTAGGATTTTTAATGAATTTATTTGTGGAAATAAGTATTGGTCAATAACAAAAGTTTCTCAATACTTTGTTATATACCCTTTGTTGGAAATGACACAGGTCAACCATTTTCTGTAAGTCTTCACAAGGTTTTCACACACTGTTGCTAGTATTTTGGCCCATTCCTCCATGCAGATCTCCTCTAGAGCAGTGATGTTTTGGGGCTGTCGCTGGGCTACATGGACTTTCAATTCCCTCCAAAGATTTTCTATGGGGTTGAGATCTGGAGACTGGCTAGGCCACTCCAGGACCTTGAAATGCTTCTTTTTTTTTTTTTTTATAATATGTTTATTATTTTCCAATAAAAATAAAGTAAAAGAGACAGCAATACAAACAATGACATTCATTGTACTGTTGGATGGGATGGCCAGTTTAGAGGACAAAACAAAAGTTAACTCACACATACACAAAATAAAACAAAATCCTATTAGGTGGTACGTGTATAAGAAGACAGCATATAGTCATTACAAGCAGTGTAGTTTAGCCAAAAATAAATATTGAGTGGAGTACAGCACAGAGTAGCAGCAGATCGTCAGCCCAGTTATGAAGCGGGACTAGACCATTTATCCAGTATTGGCTGCCATATTTTGTAAAACAATGGACTTCTATTGGAGGTGTTGTATCGAATCTTTTCCATATGGATTACATTCCCTAAATCCCGTAACCACATTTCAAAGGTAGGTACAGTCTCCACTTTCCAAAATTGCAATATGAGCCTTTTGGCTAATAGAGTACAAAGAGAGACAGCTTTCCCCTCCTGGTTATTCCCATCAACTGTACCAAACAGAGCGATCAATGGGTCTGGGGCTAGAACTCTATCAAAGGCCTTAGATAAGTAATCAAAAATGAGAGCCCAGTAAGCCTGTAATTTAGGGCATGTCCAGAATAAGTGGGACAACGTCCCCTCCTCCTGCTTGCACCTCTCACACAGTGGTGAGGTGTCCGGGAATATTTTATGCAGTTTTACTTTTGAGTAGTGTAACCTGTGTATCACCTTAAACTGTACAAGGTTGTGTCTGGCATTCACTGAACTGTGGTTTATATTCCTGAGAGCTTCTATCCAGTCCTCATTTGAGATTTCTGAACCAAGTTCTTGTTCCCAAGCCCTTTTAATGGTGTCTGTGGATACCTCTATGTGGGCCTGTAGCACATCATACAGTCTGGAGACCGACCCTTTTGAATGGGGTTTGACAAGGATCAAGCTATCTAATGTAGGACTATTTGGCTTCATGCCATACTGTGGGATGTGTGTCCTTAAGAAATTCCTGATTTGGAGGTATCTGAAAAAATGTGTTGTTGGCATGTTGAACTTTGCCTGTAGTTGTTGAAATGAAGCTAACTGACCATCTATGTATAGATTACCAATTGTTGTGAGCCCCTTCTCCCTCCACTGTGAAAACACCACATCATCCATTGCAGGGTGGAAAGCATGATTCCGGCTAATCGGGCTGTCTATGTACACAGTGGGTATGTTAAGAAAATCCCTAATCTGTTTCCAGATCCTAAGAGTATGACAAATGACTGGATTGGAGTCATAAGTGGCTTTTTTCACATATGATGGGCTATTAACAAGTGCAGGGAGTGAGGAACGTTGACAGGAGGCCTGCTCAATCAAAAGCCATGAAGGCATATCCTTCCGTCTCATCTCAGGTAAACTTTCCCTCCAGAAAGACACAATGTTCAGATTAGCAGCCCAATAATACAGTTTGAAGTGAGGAAGGCCAAAGCCCCCCTCTATCTTGTACTTGCATAAATGCTTCTTTGCAATTCTGGCTGCCTTGTTATCCCATAAAAATGGAGTTACTATTGAATCCAGTTTCTTAAAATAGCTTTGTGGTATGAAATTGGGTAGACATTGGAAGAGGTAAAGAAACCTGGGTAGGACAACCATTTTAATAGCGTTTATACGACCAACCAAGGAAATAGGCAGAGTTTTCCAGAAATCGATATTTTGTTTAAGCTGATATATTTTCATGTCCCAATTCACTTTCAATAGCTGGTCAAGGTCTCTTGTCACTACAATGCCAAGGCTTGTGAACTTGTCTCTCACTGTTCTAAGCGGGGTAGATTGCAGAAATTGCATATCCACAGGCCGTGATATTGGCATCATCTCACTTTTTTGCCAGTTTATCTTGTAGCCAGAGAAGGAGCCGAATGTGTTTATCAAGTTAAGTAATGGTGGAATAGACGTTTTAGGCTTGGACAAAAACAAAAGAACATCGTCTGCATATAGGGAAATTTTGTGCTGTGTGTCTTTTATTTTAACAGAAGCTATATCGGCACATGCCCGAATGCGCGTAGCAAGGGGTTCCATGGCTATAGCGAAGAGAGCAGGCGAAATAGGGCACCCCTGTCGGCACCCCTTGAACAGGCGGAATGACTGCGACATTTCCTGATTGGTCACCACGGACGCCATTGGGTGTGCATAAATAATTCTTATCCAATTAATAAATTCCTTTCCAAATCCGAAATGCTCCAGAACCGACATCATATACTTCCACTCAATCTGATCAAACGCCTTCTCTGCATCAAGAGCTATTACCACTGCCTCAACTTTATGATCATGATACATTACGTTGAAAAGGCGTCTCAAATTGTAGTATATATGTCGGCCCGGGATAAAACCTGTCTGGTCAGGGTGTATGATGTCGGAAATATATTTTTTCAATCGGTTTGCCAATATCTTTGTCAACACCTTGTTTTCTATGGGGAGTAACGACACGGGGCGATACGACGACATCTCCATGGAATCTCTATCTTTTTTCAAGATCAGGGCTATTGTAGCCTCATACAGTGTTTGCGGGAGTTTGGTATTTTCTTTGGATTGTTGAAACATTCGCAGCATAAGTGGAGATAGACTAGCGCAGTACTTCTTATAGAATTCTATTACATATCCATCGGGCCCAGGGGCCTTGCTGTTTGGAAATTGTGCTATCGCTGTGTTAATTTCATCTAAGGTTATCCCTGCATCGAGTGCGGCAGCTGCCCCCCTGTCTAGTTTAGGAAGTTCACAATCAGCGAGAAAGCGTTCCATAGTTTGTGGATCAGTAGCATCGCATTTTGATTGGTATAGCTCTGAGTAAAACTGTGCAAAGCATTTATTAATGTCCTGCGGATCTGTTACTATTTTACCCTTCTTGTCTTTTATTTTGTGAATAGCTCTAGATGCTTGTACATGCCTTAGCTGTCTTGCTAATAATTTATGTGGTTTGTCCCCCAGTTCAAAATAACTTTGTTGCGTTCTAGCAAGTAAAGAGCCCACCCGTTTCGAAAGGATGGTATTGTATTCATACTTTAACTTTGTGATCTTCTCAAGGACTGTATACGAGGAATTTGTCCTAAAAACGTTCTCCTGTTCCCCTAACTCTCTTTCAATTTCTCTCAGCCTAGTATTGGCACGTTTCTTCCTCTCTGATGTATAAGAAATAATGTAACCTCTAATCACAGCCTTTAGAGATTCCCAAAGGGTGGAGTCGTCAACATCCCCCGTGTCGTTAGTACTGAGGAAAAAGGCAATCTGCTCCTCCAAATACTGACAGAAAGCCTCATCTTTCAACAGGTATGCGTCTAAGCGCCACGGTCGCCGACCTGTCGACATATTGTCGAGTTTCAGCACCATGGACAGAGGAGAGTGGTCCGTAATTAGAATGGGGTGATAGGTAACCGACTCAGCTGCTGAGATTAGTTTGGAGTCCAACAAAAAATAGTCAATTCTGGAATATGATTTATGAACTGATGAGAAGAAAGAATAATCCCTGTCTGTTGGGTGCGTCAGTCTCCAAATATCGACAATGTTAAGGTTTGTCATCAATGTATTTAGACAGACACTGGCATTTGATTGTTGAAGTGACCTTGATAGCTGTTTATCTAAAAGAGGGTCTAACGTACAGTTAAAGTCACCTCCAACAATAACACTTGTATCCGAGATATTTGGTATGGCCTTAAATACCCTTTGAAAAAATACTGGATCATCGAAGTTGGGTCCATATAAATTGACCAAGGTTATTGGTTTTGAATTCAGTGTACCAGCCACAATAATATACCGACCATTAGGATCTGAAATCGAGGTTGAGTAAACAAAAGGAATGTTTTTCCTTATCAGGATTGCTACCCCTCTCGCTTTTGCATCAAAGTTAGACTGGTATATCTGACCGATCCAGCCGACTCGTAGCTTGGCCTGCGCGGAGCGTTTAATATGAGTTTCTTGAAGAAGCACTATGTCAGCACCCAGTGATTTAAGATGAGAAAAAACCTTAGCTCGTTTCACGACATGCCCTAATCCATTACAGTTCCAGCTGACTATCTTTATTCCACCTGGTCTACTCTGTGCTCGGTCACTATGTGGCATTTCTTATTTTAAAGCAAATTGCTGCTGTCATACAAAACCCAGAAGAAAAACGTCCCGCCGTGCGGGAGCTTGTCATGCCACCTGTACTAATAAACGTGAACATAAAACACAGACCCCAACCCCCCTCCCGTCCCTTTACTGAGTGACTTCCCCAAACGAAGCACTCCTTGGCTAACACACAAACGTTAGGGTGTCTAGACATAAAGCTTGAACTAACTCGTCGTCTATAGATGCTCCGCATATAAACTAATATTAAATAACACTTAACTTAACTCTCATGTTAGGGGGTGAGTGGCGCTAAAACATGACATGCCAAACAATGCTATATTAGCCACAACATCTCACCTATCCTATAAGTCCCAATTTCTGATCTTCTGATCGAAAAGACATAGGCCGGAAATTCAATTCACACACATTCCTGGCCTGTATTTGGCCATTTAGCCTGCTGGCACAGCCGTTCTGTATCCTCAGCCGGGGAGCTTGCTTGTCAAGAACAGATCTGCCTCTTTTGCGTTGTCAAACTTACGTGTTGATCCCTCGACTGTCACCTTAAACCGGGCTGGGAAGAGGAATCCATATCGGATGTTGGCCGCCCTGCATTTGTTGCGTACCTCATCATACTCTTTCCGTTGGTTCCTCACCTCCAAGGTAAGATCTGGGTAGAAAGACACCCTGGCTCCGTTGTAGTTAAGGGGGAACTTTTGACTAGCCAGCTTGAGGATGAGATCCCTGGTGTGGGGATAGTGCAGCCTTACAATGAATGGCCTTGGTGGCCCGCCCTTGACCGGCTTCGTTGCCTGTGCTCTGTGTGCGCGGTCGATCAGGATGGCCGTTTTGAAGTGTTCACTCCCCAGCAATGCCGGTATCAGCTCCGAGACAAATTCAGTGGGTTTCCCTTTCTCCGTGTCCTCCTGGATCCCACATATTCGGATGTTCTGGCGTCTTGAATGCGACTCGAGCATTTCCAGTCGGGCCTTCAGGGTTTTGTTGTCATTTTTGAGCGTTGCGCACTGTTTCTCTATGTCCTGTAGCCTGGTCTCGTGATCGATTGTCGTCTGCTCAACCTCGTGCACCCTTCCCTTAGTTGCCTTCACAGTTTCGGCCAAAGTCCCAATACTCTTTGAGATATCAGCCAACCTTGTGTCCACCTTCTTGCTTAGTGCGTTTATGGCAGCCAGTATGTCACTTTGAGTAGGATCTGTGGGGAACTCTTGGAAGCTAGCCTCTTCAGCTAGCTCCTCGTGGGTCGGCGACGTTGAAATTGGTTCGTTGTCTATCTCATTCCAATTATCTTGTTTAGCGCCCCCTTTTTTGTTGCCTTTTCCCTTTGTCATATTTGTTTGAAGTTATAGGTTGTGAGAGGTTAAGATAAATATTAATTTGTTTCAAAATTGAGCGGAGCTCTAGCAATGCACGTCTACTCCATAGCACGCTCTCTAGCGCCCCCTTGAAATGCTTCTTACGAAGCCACTCTTTCGTTGCCCTGGCAGTGTGTTTGGGATCATTGTCATGCTGAAAGACCCAGCCACGTTCCATCTTCAATGCCCTTGCTGATGGAAGGAGGTTTTCACTCAAAATCTCACGATACATGGCCCCATTCATTCATTCCTTTACACGGATCAGTCGTCCTGGTCCCTTTGCAGAAAAACAGCCCCAAAGCATGATGTTTCCACCCCCATGCTTCACAGTAGGTATGGTGTTCTTTGGATGCAACTCAGCATTCTTTGTCCTCCAAACACGACGAGTTTAGTTTTTACCAAAAAGTTCTGTTTTGGTTTCATCTGACCATATGACATTCTCCCAATCCTCTTCTGGATCATCCAAATGCACTCTAGCAAACTTCAGACGGGCCTGGACATGTACTGGCTTAAGCAGGAGGACACGTCTGGCACTGCAGGATTTGAGTCCCTGGCGGCGTAGTGTGTTACTGATGGTAGGCTTTGTTACTTTGGTCCCAGCTCTCTGCAGGTCATTCACTAGGTCCCCCCGTGTGGTTCTTGTGATCATTTTGACCCCACGGGGTGAGATCTTGCGTGGAGCCCCAGATCGAGGGAGATTATCAGTGGTCTTGTATGTCTTCCATTTCCTAATAATTGCTCCCACAGTTGATTTCTTTAAACCAAGCTGCTTACCTATTGCAGATTCAGTCTTCCCAGCCTGGTGCAGGTCTACAATTTTGTTTCTGGTGTCCTTTGACAGCTCTTTGGTCTTGGCCATAGTGGAGTTTGGAGTGTGACTGTTTGAGGTTGTGGACAGGTGTCTTTTATACTGATAACAACTTCAAACAGGTGCCATTAATACAGGTAACGAGTGGAGGATAGAGGAGCCTCTTAAAGAAGAAGTTACAGGTCTGTGAGTGCCAGAAATCTTGCATGTTTGCAGGTGACCAAATACTTATTTTCCACCATAATTTGCAAATAAATTCATAAAAAATCCTACAATGTGATTTTCTGGAGAAAAAAATTCTCAATTTGTCTGTCATAGTTGACGTGTACCTATGATGAAAATTACAGGCCTCTCTCATCTTTTGAAGTGGGAGAACTTGCACAATTGGTGGCTGACTAAATACTTTTTTCCCCACTGTACATCCACAGGTACACCTCCAATTGACTCAAATTATGTCAATTAGCCTATCAGAAGCTTCTAAAGCCATTACATCATTTGGAATTTTCCAAGCTGTTTAAAAGCACAGTCAACGTAGTCTATGTAAACTTCTGACCCATTGGAATTGTGATACAGTGAATTATAAGTGAAATAATCTGTCTGTAAACAATTGTTGGAAAAATTACTTGTGTCATGCACAAAGTAGATGTCCTAACTGACTTGCCAAAACTATAGTTTGTTAACAAGGAATTTGTGGAGTGGTTGAAAAACGAGTTTTAATGACTCCAACCTAAGTGTATGTAAACTTCCGACTTCAACTGTATGTAAAGACAAGATTAAATCAAGAATAGTCTGATGGGTGAAAATATTAGCCTATCATTTGTGAATTATATATTATCACTTGTGTATGATGCCCAGCATAAGAAACCATGCCTTTGTTTTACGACTTTTTCGAATCATAGTCGCACACCTCATGTAACTTAGCCCATTAGCCTATTTGTTTTAATAATAACTAAAGTGGCCAAATAACTTCTTAAAATTAAGCACATTCATCTGCTTTACAAGGGGTTTGGAGCCTAACTGGCATACATATATAAGCAGCGCATGAGTTTCAAGTTTGGGGAAGATAATTTTCACCATAAAAATGCACCTTTATAATAAAAGCATTACATGCATAATTGAATTTGTGGTCACTTTTGATAATGGTGTTTTCCGCTAATGGAACATTCGTGCTTATAGCCTACTGCCATGTGCGCATTGCTGTGCTTATAATGTGAAGAAATAGCCTAATAGTTTATCAACATTTTAAGCGAAACGTTCTGATCTGTTGCGCCAGCCACATTGCATAAAAAAGGTTTTTGATGCTAGTGGTTGTATTCATTTAGGATCTATCGCATCCCACAACTGTCCCAGACTATGTTTGGAATATTTATTTCTCGCACAGTATAGAATAAGTCGACTTTTGTACTATGGGGGATAGTAGACATAGGCTAGTGCTTTTGCTGTTCGTTAGGTCTACTCATCTTGTTGGCTGACGAAAAGTAAATGTGGACAGTTCTTCCAATATCTTCAATATGCACCTCGGAATTGGATAAGGACGTGCACAGTTGCGTCCCCAATGTGTCTGTCTTCACTTGTAGCTAGTGAGAAAGACCCGATCACTTGACGGAGAGCCATGTGAGTGAGAGATGCTTCGGATTGCGCAGCACACTCAGGGAGAAGGGCACAACGCAGCACTCCGGGCCGCAAAAAGGCATGGATCTTTTTAGGGTGCATTACGGCCACAAAGGGGAGGCCGCCGTGAAATTCAAGGCATTATCAAGTGCTTGTCAAATTGTGAATGAGAGACTATTGGAGTGTGTACAGCCTGCGCAAAAAAACAAAGCAGAGCTCATGCCTTTCAAGCAACTTTTTTCAAATCATCATTAGTGTCTCATCATACAGACTTACAATGTATTAAAAATCTAACCATATAGCCCAACGTTTGTAGAACAACTAAAGTTACATTAATACATCTAAATTAAGCATATAGGAGTACCTATTTATTTGTTATTTGTTTAGTCTCCCGAGTGGCGCAGTGGTCTAAGGCTGTGCCACTAGAGATCCTGGTTCGAATCCAGGCTCTGTCATAGCCGGCCGCGACCGGGAGACCCATGGGGCGGCGCACAATTGGCCCAGGGTAGGGGAGGGAATGGCCGGCAGGGATGTAGCTCGGTTGGTAGAGCGTGGCGTTTGCAACGCCAGGGTTGTGGGTTCGTTTCCCACTGGGGGCCAGTATGAAAAAATAATGTATGCACTCACTAACTGTAAGTCGCTCTGGATAAGAAGATCGTTTGGAGAAAATATTTACATTTTATTCAGCTTTGTTCAATTGTATTCTTCATACTATAAAATAATATAAAATAATGCCACTTAACTATAAGCAAATCTTGTCTGCTAAATGAACTAGTGTAGCCCACAGCCATTTGGCATAGCCACATCAGGACAACTCAGAGTATGCTATTATTTTCTTCTGAAATAGACTGCTAAATGTGTTTATGTTAATTAACTGTTTATTACCGTGAGACCGACAGTTATTTGCTTGACAATCACCGGCTGACGACATTTCGTGACCGCCACAGTCTTAATTTCAGTCACTTCAAACCATACCGTCTTCAGATTGAAATACTGTAAAAAATACTGTCAGATCAAACTGATTTCTAATAGATTGTCATAGCCCAAATTAAAAAAGTAAACATTGGCCGTTGATTACATAACTTTTGGTGGGGTCGCAAAACATTTTTGATATCAAAATGTGGTCGTGGGCCAAAAAAGTTTGGGAACCCCTGGGTCAAGGTTATGCATAGTGTTAACCACCACCCAGAACCATACAAAATCTGCCAGCTGTATGTAAACTCCCTAACTACAAACAAATCCGGCTGAAGTCTCACTTCAGGTTTCCCCATGACTAAGGCAAGCCAGTTTACAAGTCTGTCTTTCATCATGGAGGGTAGGTTGAATAATGGATGTGGCGGTGCAGGTGGGGGGGTGGGGGGGGGGACGGACGTCTGATAGCGCTTCGTTACCATGCAAAGCGATAGCCATGGTGACGGTGAAAGGAGTTCGCAGTGTTGTGTTGCCGCTGAGAGAGGCATTGAAGGATGCCCGGGAGGAGGCGTTAGGTTGTGCCAGAGTGCCAGTTATACCAGCTGGACCTACTCCCTACTGTACACAGCAATATGGATTAGCTGACATGTAATGGACACCTCAGTATTAATACGGAGAAGGGGTTCATTTCATGGACACCCGTAAATGACAAACAAGTTAATGCATTAACGCCTTGTTTTACAGTCCTGTTTCAGTTCGTGTTTACCTGATATTTATTGAGAAGATGTGGTCACTATTAAGGATACATTTGGGGCACAATAATTAGGCCTAATAATAATTGATGTCTTAGCGTCAAATACTATGCAGTGGTAAGAAACGACAGCTCATTATGTAATTACGTAATACCATGGGATTTCTGTCAATAGTTGGCTGCAAAGTAAAGCATCCCTGGTTGTTCCTGTAGTGTCAAACATGGGATTGCAACAGTAAATATTTATTTTTATTTTTGTCATTTAGCAGACGCTCTTATCCAGAGCGACTTACAGGAGCAATTAGGGTTAAGTGCCTTGCTCAAGGGCACATCGACAGATTTTTTACCTAGTCGGCTCGGGGATTAGAACCAGCGACCTTTCGGTTACTGGCACAACGCTCTTACCCACTAAGCTACCTGCCGCCCAAATATCATGCCATGTGTCTTTTACAGAATGAAGAGGAAGTTTTATTCGTGGGGAGAGTGCATGAATCTGAGAGAAGTGAGGGTAAAGATTGGAACACAACACATGGTTAACATAATGTTTTAGGTACATTTCATGTTTACAAAAGTGAAAGCATCAGCTACAACTGAAAGTGCTCACAATTATCAACAACAACAACCGTATCTTTCTCATGGAATTCAATTATTCAATTTCAGATGATAATCGATGACTATTATATTATGAAGAATGTTTGTCACTTATCTCTTCACCCCATGATGAATGTCCACAGTCACTGAAAAAGCTGAATCATGCCAACGCTGTCATCAAAGAGAACCACCTGTACTTTGTCTTTGAATACATGAAAGAGAATCTCTATCAGCTCATGAAGGACAGGTAAGGGTGACTCATTTCCAACTACAAAACCCTGAAAATGTTTTGTTTAGATAATGCTTGTGGGGCATACAGTATATACAGTATATACCCATTTCCTTGCCAAATCATGTATTTAAGAGTGGGAAACAGCAGGGGTGTGTTCATTAGGCAACAAAATGGAAGTAAATGGACTGAAACAGGGAAGGACTATAAGAAATGCTTTTACTCGTTTTCTGTTGCAAACAAAAAAATAAAAATTAAATGTTGTGTTCCCTAACTAACACAACCCAGAATTAATTAGAAGTTTCATATACAGACAATTCTATGAATTCTTCATTTGCCGAAACAAGTTGTTCCCTGAGTCAGCGATTAGAAACATACGTTATCAGATATTACAAGGCCTATAATTTATTCATAAACATGGTAGGTCTCCCCTAAGAACCACTTGACTCTCTCATCTGACAACACCAAGGACAACTGGGGCAACAGAGGTCGCTACCGTCACTGGCACTCCCACCATTCATAGAGTTGGCTATTGTCTGTAAACACTGACAAATATTTAGCCTGTCAAACTAAAATGATGGGAGTGTCGCTAGCTAGCACCTGGCTGGCTGTGGCCTTGGTTAGACCTCCGTTGTCTTGTCTTGCTGTTTTGGTGAACGGATATGTGGATACCTGACGTGTGCAACCCAGGGCTGAAAAGTGAGAACACGTTAAACTCTGAGGTAAACAGGTTTCAGTCTGTGAGAGGAGGTCCTGTTATGGATTCTAGTCCATCTGGCCTGTTATAGCGTCATGTGAGTGACTTGGCAAGAGTGGTTCTCTTCACACACACCACGCTAACTCCATCTGTGCTTGTCCAACACCACCGCGGTTTCCACATGTCCTATGGGCTGAATGCATTCTGGGGCTGTCTCCTTATCGCATCTCTCTCTCCTTATCTCGTCTCCTCTCTCCTTATCTAGTCTCTCTCTCTCCTTATCTAGTCTCTCTCTCCTTATCTCGTCTCTCTCTCTCCTTATCTCGTCTCTCTCTCTCCTTATCTCGTCTCTCTCTCTCTCCTTATCTCGTCTCTCTCTCACTCCTTATCTCGTCTCTCTCCTTATCTCGTCTCTCGCTCCTTATCTAGTTCTTCTCGCTCCTTATCTCGTCTCTCTCTCCTTTATCTCGTCATCTCTCTCTCTTATCTCGTCTCTCTCCCTTATCTCGCTCTCTCTCCTTATCTCGTCTCTCTCTCTCTCCTATCTCGTCTCCTCTCCTCCTTATCCTCGTCTCTTTCCTTATCTTGTCTCCCCACTCCTTATCCTCGCTCTCTGCTCTCTCCTATCTCGTCTCTCTCTCTCCTCCTTATCTTCTTCCTCCTCCTTATCTAGTCTCCGCTCCTTATCTCGTCTCCTCTCATCGTCTCTCTCCTTATCTCGTCTCTCTCTCTCCTTATCTCGTCTCTCTCTATCTCCTTATCTCGTCTCTCTCTCTTATCTCGTCTCTCTCTCTTATCTCGTCTCTCTTCCTTATCTGTCTCTCTCCTTATCTGTCTCTCTCTCCTTATCTCGTCTCTCTCTCTCCTCTTATCTCTGTCTCTCCTATCTTCTTCTATCATCGTCTCATCTCTCTTATCTCGTCTCTCTCTCCTTATCTGTCTTCTCTCTTATCTGTCTATCTTCTCTCCTTATCTCGTCTCTCTCTCCTTATTCGTCTCTCTCCTTATCTTGTCTCTCTCTCCTTATCTCGTCTCTCTCTCTCCTTATCTCGTCTCTCTCTCTCTTATCTGTCTCTCTCTCCTTATCTCGTCTCTCCTCCTTATCTCGTCTCTCTCTCTCCTTATCTCTAGTCTCTCTCTCTCCTTATCTCGTCTCTCTCTCTTCTCGTTTCTCCTTCTTCTCTCTCTCCTTATTCTTTCTCTATCTCTCTCTCTCCTTATCTTGTCTCCCCTCCCGTATCTCGTCTCTCCTCCTTATCTCGGTCTCTCGCTCCTTATCTCCTTACTCATCTCTTCTCCTCCTTATTCGTCTCTCCTCCTTATCTTCGTCTCTCTCTCCTTATCCGTATCTCTCGCTCCTTATCTCGTCTCCTCTCGCTCCTTATCTCGTCTCTCTCCTCCTTATCCTCCGTCCTCTCGCCTCCTTATCTGTCTCTCTCTCCTTATCGTCCTCTCTCGCCTTATCTCGTCCTCTCTCTCCCTTATCTCGTCTCTCTTCTCCTTATCGCGTCTTCTCTCTCCCCTTATCTTGTCTCTTTCCTTATCTTGTCTCTCCACTCCCTATCCGTCTCTCTCTCTCTTAGCTCGTCTCTCTCTCTCCTTATCTCGTCTCTCTCCTTATCCGTCTCCCCCTCCTTATCTCGTCTCCTATACCCCCCCCCCCCCGAACCCCCCCTCTCGTCTCTCTCCTTATCCGTCTCTCTCTCCTTATCTCGTCTTCCTCCTTATCTCGTTCTCGCTCCTTATCTCTTATCTCGTCTCTCTCTCCTTATCTTGTCTCTCTCTCCTTATCTTGTCTCTCTCTCCTTATCTCGTCTCTCTCTCCTTATCTCGTCTCTCTCTCTCCTTATCTCGTCTCTCTCTCCTTATCTCGTCTCTCTCCTTATCTGTCTCCCTCCTTATCTCGTCTCTCTCTCCTTATCTCGTCTCTCTCTTTCTCTCCTTCTTCTCGTCTCTTCTCTCCTTATCTCGTCTCGTCTCTCTCCTTATCTCGTCTCTCTCCTTATCTCGTCTCTCTCTCCTTATCTCGTCTCTCTCTCCTTATCTCGTCTCTCTCTCCTTATCTCGTCTCTCTCTCTCTCCTTATCTTGTCTCTCTCTCCTTATCTCATCTCTCTCTCCTTATCTCGTCTCTCTCTCCTTATCTAGTCTCTCTCTCTTATCTCGTCTCTCTCTCTCTCCTTATCTCGTCTCTCTCTCCTTATCTCGTCTCTCTCTCCTTATCTTGTCTCTCTCTCCTTATCTCGTCTCTCTCTCTCCTTATCTCGTCTCTCTCTCCTTATCTCGTCTCTCTCTCCTTATCTCGTCTCTCTCCTTATCTCGTCTCTCTCTCTCCTTATCTCGTCTCTCTCTCTCCTTATCTCGTCTCTCTCTCTCCTTATCTCGTCTCTCTCTCTCCTTATCTCGTCTCTCTCTCCTTATCTCGTCTCTCTCTCTCTCCTTATCTAGTCTCTCTCTCTCCTTATCTCGTCTCTCTCTCTCTCCTTATCTCGTCTCTCTCTCCTTATCTCATCTCTCTCCTTATCTCGTCTCTCTCTCTCCTTATCTCGTCTCTCTCTCTCCTTATCTCGTCTCTCTCTCTCCTTATCTCGTCTCTCTCTCTTTCCTTATCTCGTCTCTCTCTCCTTATTTCCTCCCTCTCTTCTCATTTCGTCTCTCTTTTCTCCTCCCTCCTTGCTGCTCTGTCCGTTTGTGCAGAGGCATGGTAAGATGCTTTGTCCTCCTGCTGCTCTGTCCGTTTGTGCAGAGGCATGGTAAGATGCTTTGTCCTCCTGCTGCTCTGTCCGTTTGTTCAGAGGCATGGTAAGATGCTTTGTCCTCCTGCTGCTCTGTCCGTTTGTGCAGAGGCATGGTAAGATGCTTTGTCCTCCTGCTGCTCTGTCCGTTTGTGCAGAGGCATGGTAAGATGCTTTGTCCTCCTGCTGCTCTGTCCGTTTGTGCAGAGGCATGGTAAGATGCTTTGTCCTCCTGCTGCTCTGTCCGTTTGTGCAGAGGCATGGTAAGATGCTTTGTCCTCCTGCTGCTCTGTCCATTTGTTCAGAGGCATGGTAAGATGCTTTGTCCTCCTGCTGCTCTGTCCGTTTGTTCAGAGGCATGGTAAGATGCTTTGTCCTCCTGCTGCTCTGTCCGTTTGTGCAGAGGCATGGTAAGATGCTTTGTCCTCCTGCTGCTCTGTCCGTTTGTGTGACATGGATTTTTGTGAATTAGCATACTACTCCATGTCGCACAACCCCATATGGTGCATTTCAAAAGGATGGTTCACTCCATTGTCTTGTGATTTAAGGGGATGGGTGGTTCAACGTTAGTCAGAAATGTTCCTCAAAAGTGGTCTAAAGTCCTTATTGTATGCTTGTTGTGTGTAGATTCCACTACATTACAATCAATCTATAGGCCTCAATCCCAAATTAATGTACTGAACTATCAATTTAAAGCCATTTGAATCTATTTTGACTGAATGATTCATGTAAAACTCATATCCATAACGATAATCAAATATGAAATGTGGTCTTCACCTAAACACCCCATGATTCACCTTGATTCATTTAAAAAAGGAATAAAAAAAAAATATATAAATTGTACAGTTAATCTTTCTGGATGACTTGTGAAGAGGTTGAGCTGAGTGTTCTCTATGACCCTGATCCCTTGGGCAGGATTCTTCCACCGGGATATGAAACCGGAGAACCTGCTCTGCATGGGCCCAGAGCTGGTCAAGATAGCCGACTTTGGATTGGCCAGAGAGATCCGCTCCCGCCCCCCGTACACGGACTACATGTCCACAAGATTGTAAGGGACCCTCCGTAGTTGTTCAGTGGCAACATTTGGTCTCCTCTTATTTTATACAATGCATAAAGAAGTTGAAAACTCACTGTGCTGTCTCTGTGTCCAGGTATCGCGCCCCAGAGGTGCTGCTACGGTCGTCTAACTACAGCTCCCCTGTAGACGCGTGGCTGAGCTCTACGCCATCAGACCACTGTTCCCCAGGAACAGTGAGGTGGACTAGATCTTCAAGATCAGCCAGGTTCTGGGGACAGTCAAGAAGGTAAGAGAGAAGAGCAAGCAATCCTCTGTCCACAGAGAGATATTGGTGTTATAGTTTAAATGATTGCCTATGTACAGTATCTAGGGTAAATGGTGTAAATGTCTGTGTGACGCATGTTGGAAGTAATCCAGTATGACAACTATTTATGCAGATTTGAGCTGATTAGAATAATAGTCTTTAATTATTGAAATGGAATGTGTTTCTAATCTAAATCTACTCAAATGAGCTGTAATGGGCATGAGTAGTTAATATACTGTATCGCTTTCAACATACACACATACATGCATATGCCATTCTTCACTTGAGAGTGATCCATTGGCATAAGTATCTGGTACTGAGTGAACATACATTCTGAAACCTCATACAGTAGTGAAATGAACTCTCCTCCTCAATTCTCCTCTCCTCACCTCTCCTACTAGTCTGAATGGCCGGACGGCTACCAGCTGGCCCCGGCCATGAACTCCCGCTTGCCCCAGTGCATGCCTACCTACCTGAAGACCCTCATCACCAACGCCAGCACAGAGGCCATCGCCATGATGAAGGATCTGCTCACGTGGGAGCGTAAGAAGAGACCCATGGCCGTGCAGCTATACAGGCATCACAGACAGAGGCTTGGTGTGCTGTAGCCTGGTCCCAGATCTGTTTGTGCTGTCAACTCCTATGGTCATTGCCTAGGTGTGCTGGGGAGTCATGCCCCACAGAGACTGTCTGATTAGCCCATAGGCCTCACGGGCCTCCTCCATGTGCTCCTTATGTAATACGTGTTAATGCAGGTCAACATATTTACTGTATGTGCTGGAGTCTGGTCTAGTGGTAGCTCTTCCCCCCCCGGTGACAGGGGTTCGATCCCCAGGTTGACCGCTCTTATTTTGTCTTCTTCCTGTAATTAGATATTTGTGTTCTAACTATTGCTGTGGTAATGGCATCCATGATGGGGCCTTGGCCCGGGAGTGAGTTACGCAAGGCCACAGTGAGGACTCAATCCCGAGGCTCATCAGAGCCCAAAGCTGAACTGCAGACCTCCTCAGCAGACTCCTCGGTTCAGACATCCCAGGGCCACCACCCCAAACACCAGACCCCCCAACAGCCCCTTCACCAGACCCCCCAACAGCCCCTTCACCAGCCCCCCCAACAGCCCCTCCAGCAGCCTGACCAGACATCTCCACGTGGCCCCCCAACAGCCCCTCCAGCAGCCTGACCAGACATCTCCACGTGGCCCCCCAACAGCCCCCCCCCCTCCCCCTCCACCAGCCTGACCAGACATCTCCACGTGGCCCCCCAACAGCCCCCCCTGCAGCCTGACCAGACATCTCCACGTGGCCCCCCAACAGCCCCTCCACCAGCCTGACCAGACATCTAGTCACTAACTCCAACACGGTGAGTGGCTGGGCTGCATCCATACAAAGAGATCTGAGGAAACATGGAATAACTGCAAAACATGTTAAAAACAGTAAGTTATATGACCATTTTAACATTATAACACCGTACCTCTCTGAAATTTAACTCAAAGAGACGTCTGTGTATCTATTTGGATTTGGACATGACTGGACTCTTGACCTGTGAAATGTATTCCGTTTGGCAGAAGCCGTCTGCCTTGGCGGGGACTGGGAGTGAGAACAGTGCAGCGGTGGAGCTGAAGAGTGGGCAGAGGCGCTGGGGCCAGACAGTGTTGAAGGCCACAGATAGCTGGGACGAGTCAGAACCTTCTGATACCTCTGTGTCCTACTCCAAGAAACCCAGCCTGGGATCAGAGGAGGAGAAGGGCCACAAGGACCGTAGTGATCTACAGTAAGACTCAGTCACTTCCCCTATTGTACACTACATGACCTGCAGACACAGACACAAAAGTGAGCAGTTCAGTCATCTGCACCCAATACATCTAGCCTTCAACATATTCTTATACCGTACATATTCTTACCTCTTTGTTGATTGATATTGTTTGTGTCCATTTTCTGTTTTAGATAGAATTGCACAAATATGAAAAGATAGATGGTATCATCATAAAACAATATCAATTTAGATCATACAAGGGACAAACCTTACCTTAAATTGAGGAGATCTTTACAGTTTTGAGTTAAGTGCTTGCATCTGCTGTCGTTTCAAATCCAAATGTTTCAGTTGGGCAGTTAGGTTCCTGCAAGAACCCCCACCAACTAAGGAGGTTCCTCAATGAACCCCACCTCCTATGGGATTCTTGGTAGAACCTTTTGGGGGCCATTTTCAGTGCCAAGAACCCTAAGGTTCTTCGAAGAACTTTGAGGATCTTAGAAGAACCCTTGTTGAACCCCACATTTTTTAGAGTGTAGCGTTAAGATTTCCCTTCCCTGGAACTAAGGGGCCTAGCCCGAACCATGAAAAACAGCCCCAGAACATTATTCCTCCTCCACCAAACTTTACAGTTGGCACTATGCATTCGGGCAGGTAGCGTTCTCCTGGCATCCGCCAAACCCAGGTTCGTCCATCGGACTGCCAGATGGTGAAGTGTGAGTCCAATGGAGGTGAGCTTTACACCACTCCGGCCGACGCTTGGCATTGCGCATGGTGATCTTAGGCTTGTGTGCGGCTGCTTGGCCATGGAAACCCATTTCATTAAGCTTCCGACTAACAGTTATTGTGCTGACGTTGCTTCCAGAGGCAGTTTGGAACTCGGTAGTGAGTGTTGCAACCGAGGACAGACGTTTTTTACGCGCTACACGCTTCAGCACTCGCCGGTCCCGTTCTGTGGGCTTGTGTGGCCTACCACTTTGCGGCTGAGCCGTTGTTGCTCCTACACATTTCCACTTCACAATAACAGCACTTACAGTTGACCAGGGCAGATTTAGCAAGGCAGAAATTTGACGAACTGACTTGTTGGAAAGGTGGCATCCTATGACGGTTCCACGTTGAAAGTATGTCTATTTAGATTGCATGGCTGTGTGCTCGATGTCATACACCTTTCAGCAACGGGTGTGGCTGAAATAGACGAATCCACTAATTTGAAGGGGTGTCCACATATTTTTGTATATATTCAATCTAACACAAATATTTAAACGACTGAATTGAATTGTCTGAGTTTGAGCCCTTTGCTGTTTTTTCAGATCCAAAGAGCAAAAAACGACGTACTCCTTCAGCACTGTTACCAAGTTACCGAGCAATATTAACATGGGTCAAATGGACTCCAGTCTCCCAGGTTCCTCAGCAAGACAACATTACCTGAGCCAATCAAGATATCTGCCTGGTAAGACCAGCTTGTTTGTTTGTTTTAAACAAATAGCATGTGCGATACGTAAGTCATTTTTGGGAGGCATATTTTCTCATGTATCTAATGGTTCCTCTTATGTTGGTTTCAGCCATCCACATTTTCCGACCCAACTCTTCTTTTCTTTCAGGGTTGATCGGCAAGAACTCTATAGACAAGGAGCCCAGTGGACCGACACTCCAAGATCTGTGGGAACACTCCACCAAAGTCAACAGTAGACCCCTCGGGGCCCATTGGAGCTGGTTTATCCGTCACCAGAGTCAACGCAGGTAATCCTTTGTGCCCTCCTACTCATACACACCCAGCTCACAAAGGTCCTAAACGCCATACTATTCAGTTCTGCAGTGCTCATTTCCTGATTCGCCCCTGCAATCTTTTAGTGCTGGCTCGGCACAAAGAAAGCAACTGTTTGGTGTGGGTTACTATGCTTAAGAGTCTGGGTCACATTGGGGACGGGAGCCTCCATTATTCATTTGTGATGTAGACAGACCCGCAATATGTGCCTCTGTGCCCCCCACTTTTCTTATTCACGAGGAAGAGTATTAAGACAGTTAGTTGCTTAAGATCAAGTGCCCCCAACTTGAGTTTTTGGACTGAATGGCCTAATTTCTCACTGAAATCTAGTTTCTCAGTCCTGTCTCGCTAACATTCACAGTATCCTATTGTGACTTGGATTTCAGTGTGCTTCTCTGATGACTTGATGCTTCATTTCACCCATTTCTCTCCTTTCCTTTAACTATCTTTTCTGTCTCTGCTTGCATGTACAATGTATTGTCTTCTCCACCCTGTCTTTAACTGGGAGAAGAAGACACTGATAACCCTTCTGATAAATCTGTAGATAAATCTGTTCTAAAAGAAATAATACCTGATTCAGCTAAAGATACTCTATTTGTTAAATTTAGAATTTAAAGTTCATGTCTTTATATGTTCATTGATTCATGCTTTCTCCTGCTGCTGACCTCTGGTGAATTCTCAATTAGCTAAGATCTATAGTAAAAATAATTAGTTGGCTTATCATCAAGTATAATTAGTAATAATGCCAGATTTTCATAAACACTTTAACATGTTACTAAACTGTTTAATGGTAGCTATACTAAAGTGGAATACGTGTTTCTGCAGATGCAACCATTATCCTAATAGTGTGTGTGTGGGTTAACATGTTAATGAGCCCAGCCAATTAAGACACAGCAGGAGAGGGAGCCCAAATACTCACTGCTACACATTTTAGTCATTTAGCAGACGCTCTTATCCAGAGCGATTTACAGGAGCAATTAGGGTTAAGTGCCTTGCTCAAGGGCACATCGACAGATTTTTCACCTAGTCGGCTCGGGGATTAGAACCAGCGACCTTTCGGTTACTGGCACTACGCTCTTAACCACTAAGCTACCTGCCGCCCTACACGAGAACCACGCTCCAGGTTACTAAATAGATGGTCATTTTTATGACAGAACGCTAAATATCAAAGATGTACAAGTGAAGTGTTATTTGTTATGAATAGAGTTTGTCTGTATTAAATCATTGTTATGAATAGAGTTTGTCTTTATTAAATCATTGTTATGAATATAGTTTGTCTGTATTAAATCATTGTTATAAATAGAGTTTGTCTGTATTAAATCATTGTTATGAATATAGTTTGTCTGTATTAAATCATTGTTATGAATAGAGTTTGTCTTTATTAAATCATTGTTATGAATAGAGTTTGTCTGTATTAAATCATTGTTATGAATATAGTTTGTCTGTATTTAATAATTGTTATGAATAGAGTTTGTCTGTATTTAATCATTGTTATGAATAGAGTTTGTCTGTATTAAATCATTGTTATGAATAGAGTTTGTCTTTATTAAATCATTGTTATGAATAGAGTTTGTCTGTATTAAATCATTGTTATGAATATAGTTTGTCTGTATTTAATCATTGTTATGAATAGAGTTTGTCTGTATTAAATCATTGTTATGAATAGAGTTTGTCTGTATTAAATCATTGTTATGAATAGAGTTTGTCTTTATTAAATAATTGTTATAAATAGAGTTTGTCTGTATTAAATCATTGTTATGAATATAGTTTGTCTGTATTTAATCATTGTTATGAATAGAGTTTGTCTGTATTTAATCATTGTTATGAATAAAGTTTGTCTGTATTTAATCATTGTTATGAATAAAGTTTGTCTGTATTTAATCATTGTTATGAATAAAGTTTGTCTACATTAATTAAATCTCTGGTTTATGTCTTTCAGGAAACATTGTCAGTACAAAGTTCAATCTGGCTGGAGGTTATATTCTCTCCTTTCAGAAGAAAGAGGTTGGCTCTGTGGGTCAAAGGATCCAGCTTGCTCCTCTTGCCGGCCAGCACACAAGTAAGACGTACCATATTTACCATTTTAATTGGCATAAACATGCTCTGATCTTTAGTCTACACGGCACAGCGGTCAGCAGACACAAATAAGACCACTGGGGAGGGATTCATACCATTACATCCTTTCTCTCTTATTTTCACTGTTTCTGCCTTTCCATCACTCTATTTTCTAGTTTCTTTCCATGTCTGTACTATAAACTCATCTCTTTCCATGTCTGTACTATAAACTCATCTCTTTCCATGTCTGTACTATAAACTCATCTCTTTCCATGTCTGTACTATAAACTCATCTCTTTCTATGTCTGTACTATAAACTCATCTCTTTCCATGTCTGTACTATAAACTCATCTCTTTCCGTGTCTGTACTATAAACTCATCTCTTTCCGTGTCTGTACTATAAACTCATCTCTTTCCGTGTCTGTACTATAAACTCATCTCTTTCCGTGTCTGTACTATAAACTCATCTCTTTCCGTGTCTGTACTATAAACTCATCTCTTTCCATGTCTGTACTATAAACTCATCTCTTTCCATGTCTGTACCATAAACTCATCTCTTTCCGTGTCTGCATGCTCTCTCTCAGTTGATCTTTCTACTCCTGATAACAAAACATGTCAAACCAAAATCTGTCAAGACAAAGTCCACCTCCATCACACCTATGAGGGAAAACACTGAAGGTAATGCTAATAATAGAAAATGCCACTTCAGACACATTTATCCAAACAGACTTATTGTACAATGAGTACATACCACAGGAGGTTGGTGACGCCTTAATTGGGGAGGACGGGCTCATGGTAATGGCTGGAGCGGTAATGGTATCAAATACATCAAACAGATGGTTTCCATGTGTTTGATGCCATTTCATTCGCTCCGTTCCAGCCATTATTATGAGATGTCCTCCCCTCAGCAGCCTCCACTGGTACATACACACACATAAAATGTATGTGATCCCTCTGGGAATTGAATCCACTACCTTGGTGTTGTTACCGCCATGCTTTTAGAACCAACCCACACAGTAGCTGATGTGTCAATTAAGTCTATTCATTTATACTAATCCTCAGTATCTATGCTGCAATAGTCTATGTGCCGGGGGTTAGGGCCAGTTATATCTGGTGTAATTCTCCTGTCTTATCTGGTGTCCTGTGTGAATTTAAGTATGCTCCCTCTAATTCTCTCTCTCTCTCTCCCTCCCCTCCCGGAGGACCTGAGCCCTAGGATCATGCCTCAGGACTACCTGGCCTGATGACTCCTGGCTGTCCACCTGGTTGTGCTGCTGCTCCAGTTTCAACTGTTCTGCCTGCGGCTAGGGAACCCTGACCTGTTCACTGGATGTGCTACCTGCTGTTTTCGACACTCTCTCTATCTCTCTACCGCACCTGCTGTCTCGACCTCTGAATGCTTGGCTATGAAAAGCCAACTGACATTTACTCCTGATGTAATGACCTGTTCACTGGGCCAATTGTGCGCCGCCCCATGGGTCTCCCTGTCGCGGCCGGCTACGACAGAGCCTGGAAATCGAACCAGCCTCCCGAGTGGCGCAGTGGTCAAAGGCACTGCATCGCAGTGCTAGCTGTGCCACTAGAGATCCTGGTTCGAATCCAGGCTCTGTCGTAGCCGGCCGCGACCGGGAGACCCATGGGGCGGTGCACAATTGGCCCAGCGTCGTCCAGGGTAGGGGAGGGAATGGCTGGCAGGGATGTAGCTCAGTTGGTAGAGCATGGCGCTTGCAACGCCAGGGTTGTGGGTTCGATTCCCACGGGGTGCCAGTATAAAAAATATAAAATAATGTATGCACTCATTAACTGTAAGTCGCTCTGGATAAGAGCGTCTGCTAAATGACTAAAATGTAAATCACAATTTCAATGGGGAAAAAACCATATGATACCTCTCATTGATTAATTTCATGTTTCACCCTCTACAACCACTGTGTTTATTATTTGACCTTGCTGGTCATCTATGAACGTTTGAACATCTTGAAGAACAATCTGGCCTTAAATGGCCATGTACTCTTATAATCTCCACCCGGCACAGTCAGAAGAGGACTGGCCACCCCTCAGAGCCTGGTTCCTCTCTAGGTTTCTTCCTCGGTTCCTGCCTAGAAAGGGAGTTTTAGCCACCCTGATTCTACATCTGCATTGCTTGCTGTTTGGGGTTTTAGGCTGGGTTTCTGTATAGCACTTTGTGACATCTGCTGATGTAAAAAGGGCTTTATAAATACATTTGATTGATTGATTGATTTGTTACTCAATAGTCCATGATTAAACCTGATAAGAAGCAGTCATTATTTGTTACGCCAAAGCTGAATGAGAGCCCAAATAAACACTGGCATCCTAGAACAGGGGCTCTGCATAGCTAACGAGCAAAGGACTTAATCTACAGTGCATTCTGAGCGCTCTGTACTTTGCTCCGTTCGTCTTTCCCTCGATCCTGACTAGTCTCCCAGTCCCTGCCGCTGAAAAACATCCCCACATGATGCTGCCACCAACATGCTTCACCGTAGGGATGGTGCCATGTTTCCTCCAGACGTGACGCTTGGCATTAAGGCCAAAGAGTTCAATCTTGGTTTCATCAGACCAGAGAATCTTGTTTTTCATGGTCTGAGAGTCCTTTAGGTGCCTTTTGTCAAAATCCAAGCGGGCTGTCATGTGCTTTTTACTGAGGAGTGGCTTCCATCTGGCCATTCTACCATAAAGGCCTGATTGGTGGAGTGCTGCAGAGATGGTTGTCCTTCTGGAAGGTTCTCCCATCTCCACAGAGGAACTCTGGAGCTCTGTCAGAGTGACCATCGGGTTCTTGGTCACCTCCCTGACCAAGGCCCTTCTCCCCCAATTGCCCAGTTTAGCCAGGCAGCCAGCTCTAGGAAGAGTCCTGGTGGTTCCAAACTTCTTCCATTTAAGAATGATGGAGGCCAATGTGTTCTTGGGGACCTTCAATGCTGCAGAAATGTTTGGTACCCTTCCCCAGATCTGTGCCTCGACACAATCCTGTCTCGGAGCTCTACGGACAATTCCTTCGACCTCATGGCTTGGTTTTTGCTCTGACATGCACTGTCAACTGTGGACCTTACATAGACAGGTGTGTGCCTTTCCAAATCATGTCCAATCAATTGAATTTACCACAGGTGGACTCCAATCAAGTTGTAGAAAGATCTCAAGGATGATCAATGGAAACAGGATGCACCTGAGCTCAATTTCGAGTCTCATAGCAAAGGGTCTGAATACTTAAGTCAATAAGGTATTTCTGTTTTAGATATTTAATAAATGTGCACAAAATTCTAAAAACCGTTTTTCGCTTTGTCATTATGGGGTATTGTGTGTAGATTACTGAGGAATTGTATTTATTTAATCCATTTTAGAATAAGGCTGTAACGTAACAAAATGTGGAAAAAGTCTAGGGGTCTGAATACTTTCCGAATGCACTGTACATTAATATTAATCTACATGACATTAAAGAGAGCCATTTTGATGCATTGTTATGAGTGGATGTTCTGCCATGGATGTCTGTCTCAGAGTTACTTTGAGGCTGGAAAGGACACACTATGGGCCAATTTCCCAGGACACTGATTAAGCCTAGTCCTAGACCAAAAAGCACTTTCAACAGAAATTCTCCGGTGTGCTTTTTTTAGTCCAGAATTAGGCTTAATCTGTGTCCAGAAAACTGGCCCTATAGAAGGGGTCCTGTAGCTATGGTATCGTAAATTCAGCATGTGGATCACTCAGATCTTTTTTTATTTTCATATTATGATGGCTGGAAGAGGAGGACGGACAGGCCCCAAATGGAAAGCCAGAGCTACTCAGCCCTGGGGAAAACCTCTGGCAACCTGACTAGACTAGGCAATCGCTAGTGCACCAAGAGAAGCTATAAACCCAACTCACAGGTGTAGCCACAGTCTGATATGCACTTAGAAGGAAACCCTTTGTAGCTCTGAACTTCACTGCCCTCCAGTGCATGTACTTCTGAAAGGCCTCCAATGTATTATTCCAAAAAATAACATGTACAGGGATGTACAAGGAGAGACATTTCTATGCCTTCAATACATGTTTTTTATACTGGCATCATCTGTATACTGGCATCATATGTATGAACACAAGACATTTGCCAGGAGGACAGATCTATCTATTGTAATTGCTGATTGACAGGCTGATATGGTTGCTATAAAACAGGGGTTCTAAACGTTTTTCAGCTCGAGGCCAAAATGAGAAATTGCAATCCTCCCATGACTCAAATCGTCCTCCAACTTAAGAAGAAATTGTATACGATTATGGATGTATTCTCATAACTCACGACCGACCTCTCACGTGCCCAGGGCCCACTTTGGGTCCAACCCATAGTTTAAGAAACCCTGCTCTAAAGTATCCCTCATAGACAATCATGTCCTGAAACCCGTTGAATGCCGAGATATGGCATGCCTCTTAATTATTTTAAGATAATATTTGAATTTTGGTGAATTTTGTATTCTAGATTTTTATAATATAGTTATATATTCTATTTTTATTATTTGTAAGCCTTTTGTTTACATTACTAAACTCAAAGGAAATGTAATTAGGAAATTCTTCTGTAAAGGTTTATCACTCATGTTAATCTCTTGAGGAGCCATTTACTGCATCAGTGGCTAAAGCAGCGTTGACTTCAGTTGTATTATGTATGATGGCAGTCTACGCTTATATAGATACATAAATAAACACCGGCCATCTTAGAAACCGTTCATTTACCTCTTGTAACTTTTGTAACATGTAATGACAACATCTTCATTCCCATTACCTACTCCTGAAACAAAAAGGAAGGAGTTGATTGGCTACCTTGCTGCTGCCATCATTCCAGCAGGCATCATCTTCCTGGAGCCGTAGAATCTCTTTCCCATCACAGCTGCCATGGCTCCTGATGTGACTGTGTGATACAGGGGGATATTACTCAATACAGTAGGCCTACTGTAAAACCAATTATCATGAGTAGCTAGAAGTCAGTAGTGATCAAGAGAGGTCTGGGCGATGAGACGTATGCATGCACACTTGGTTAGGGTGTCTAAATGGGACAGAAACTGTACCATAACCGAGGAATACATTCATAAAACACTGAGGGACAACACCACAGGTTTACTAACCTAGAGACACCCAAATATTTTCAGGATCTTGCGATATCTGGTAGGCACCAACCCCAGCTAGGTCCCCTAAGAGAAGACCTGCAGCCAAGGAGGGAACGCTGCCTGGAGACACCAAAAGACCTACAGGAGAGAGTGGAAACCGAGCTACCAGTTCATTGTCACACACATATACCAACCAGTTCATTGTCACAAGACTGGAAATATGATGCAATCCATTTGACTCAAAAGCAATTTACTCTGTTCAATTGGGTTAACACGATGGCACAATAATAAACGTATGTGCTTTGACATAGCCCATCACTCCTCCGGATGCAATGAGTGCTGCATATCCATATCCAAACGAATCAGTCATTCAAGAATATGTAACGAATGAAAGAGAGGGAATGTTAGGCTACTATCGCCATTCGCTACACACCCACTGCAGAACGACTGGCACATGGCGATGATACACATGTAGCAAGTCATGAATTGACTACATATTGGGAGAGTTCTCCCACGATGTGCCTGTTAAATATGTTAGAAAGCTACAACAAACATTTTACATTTACATTTTAGTCATTTAGCAGACGCTCTTATCCAGAGCGACTTACAGTTAGCGAGTGCATACATTATTTTCTTTATTTCTTTCATACTGGCCCCACGTGGGAATCGAACCCACAACCCTGGCGTTGCAAACGCCATGCTCTACCAACTGAGCTACATCCCTGCCGGCCATTCCCTCCCCTACCCTGGACGACGCTTGGCCAATTGTGCGCCGCCCCATGGGTCTCCCGGTCGCGGCCGGCTACGACAGAGCCTGGCCAACTGCTAAGCTGGGGTGTATTGATTACGCCGATTCTGTTGTGAGTTAGTTGACACCCAGACTCACTACATGACCAAAAGTCATATCTCATTCCAAATTCATGGGTATTAATATGGAGTTGTTCCCCCCCTTTGCTGATATAACAGCCTCCACTCTTCTGGGAAGGCTTTCCACTAGATGTTTGAACATTGCTGTGGGGACTTTCTTCCATTCAGCCACAAGAGCATTAGTGAGGTCGGGCACTGATGTTGGCCGATTAGGCCTGGCTCGCAGTCGGCGTTCCAATTCATCCCAAATTCATCCCAAACTGCCAGATGGCGAAGTGTGATTGATCACTCCAGAGAACGCGTTTCCACTGCTCCAGAGTCCACTGGCGAGCTTTACAACACTCCAGCTGACGCTTGGCATTGCGCATGGTGATCTTAGGCTTGTGTGCAGCTGCTCGGCCATGGAAACTCGGTAGTGAGTGTTGCAACTGAGGACAGGCGATTTTTATGTGCTTCAGCACTCAGTGGTCCTGTTCTGTGAACTTGTGTGGCCTACCACTTCGCGGCTGAGCCACTGTTGCTTCTAGATGTTTCCACTTCACAATAAGAGCACTTACAGTTGACCGGGACAGTTCTAGCTGTGCAGAAATTTGACTAACTGACTTGTTGAAAAGGTGGCATCCTTTGAAGGTGCCATGTTGAAAGTCATTGAGCTCTTCAGTAAGGCCATTCTACTTCCAATGTTTGTCTATGGCTGATTGCATGGCTGTGTGCTCAATTTTATACACCTCTCTGCAATGGGTGTGGCTGAAATAGCCGAATCCACTAATTTGAAGGGGTGTCCACATACACTATATATACATAAGTATGTTTGAGTCGCATCATAACACATTGTACCTGGCGTCGACGAGGATGGCGGCCTCACGACTAGCTCTTAGGAAACTTTGTGGTATTTTGTTTTTTTATGTATTATTTTTTACATTATTAGCTCAGAAAGTGTTTTGTATCATTACATACAGCCGGGAAAAACTATTGGATATCAGAGCGGCGGTAACCCAGCATTACGACCAGGAATACGACTTTCCCGAAGCAGATCCTTTGTTTGCTCTCCCCAGGGCAATTGAACTGTTTCTAGCGGCTGACCCAAAACATCGCCGGTGCAGGAGAGGCACTCGGAGCGGCCTGCTGGTTCGACTTAGGATGCGCGCACACCACCCACCGCTTCCAAGTATACTACTCGCTAATGTTCAGTCTCTGGTTAACAAGCTCGACGAGCTCCGGGCAAGGATTTATTTCCAGAGAGACATCAAGGCCTGTAACATACTTTGTTTCACAGAAACATGGCTCTCTGGGGATATTCTGTCGAAATCGGTCCAGCCAGATGGGTTCTCAGTTCATCGCACAGACAGGAATAAATAACTCTCCGGGAAGCGGAGGTGTGTGTTTCATGATTAACGACTCATGGTGTAATTGTAGTAACATACAGGAACTCAAGTCCTTCTGTTCACCCGACCTAGAATACCTCACAATCAAATGCCGACCGTATTATCTCTCAAGATAATTTTCTTCGGTTATAGTCACGGCCGTGTATATCACCCCTCAAGCCGATACCACGACGGCCCTCAAAGAACTTCACTGGACTTTATGCAGACTGGAAACCACATATCCTGAGGCTGCATTTATTGTAGCCGGGGATTTTAACAAAGCAAATTTGAGGACTAGGCTGCCGAAGTTCTATCAACATATCGACTGTTGTACTCGCGCTGCTAAAATCCTCGACCATTGTTATTCGAACTTCCGGGCTGGTTATAAGGCCCTCCTCCGCTCTCCTTTCGGCAAATCTGACCATGACTCCATTTTGCTCCTCCCTTCCTAAAGGCAGAAACTCAAACAGGAAGTACCCGTGCTAAGGACTATTCAACGCTGGTCTGACCAATCGGAATCCACACTCCAAGGTTATTTTTATCACGCGGACTGGGATATGTTTCGGGTAGCTTGCGAAAATAATTTTGATGAATACACTGAAACGGTGACTGAGTTTATCAGGAAGTGTATAGGTGATGTTTTGCCAACTGTGACTATTAAAACCTACCCTAACCAGAAACCGTGGATAGACGGCAGCATTCGTGCAAAAAAAAAAGCGCGAACCACCGCATTCAACCATGGCATGGTGACTGGGAATATGGCAGAATACAAACAGTGTAGCTACTCACTCCGCAAGGCAATTAAACTGGCAAAACATCAGTATAGAGACAAAGTGGAGTCACAATTCAATGGCTCAGACACAAGACGTATGTGGCAGGGTCTACAGACAATCACAGACTACAAAAGGAAAACCAGCCACGTCGCCGACACCGACGTCTCGCTTCCAGACAAGCTAAACACCTTCTTCGCCCGCTTTGAGGATAACACAGTGCCACCGACGAGGCCCACTACCAAGGACTGTGGCCTCTCCTTCTCCATGGCCGACGTGAGTAAGACATTTAAGTATGTTAACCCCCGCAAGGCTGCCGGCCCAGACGGCATCCCTAGCCGCGTCCTCAGAGCATGCGCAGACCAGGTTGCTGGTGTGTTTACAGACATATTCAATCTCTCCCTTTCCCAGTCTGCTGTTCCCACATGCTTCAAGATGGCCACCATTGTTCCTGTACCCAAGAAAGCAAAGGTAACTGAACTAAATGACTATCGCCCCGTAGCACTCACCTCTGTCATCATGAAGTGCTTTGAGAGACTAGTCAAGGATCATATCACCTCTACCTTACCTGTCACCCTAGACCAACTTCAATTTGCTTACCGCCCCAATAGATCCACAGACGATGCAATCGCCATCACACTGCACACTGCCCTATCCCATCTGGACAAGAGGAATACCTATGTAAGAATGCTGTTCATTGACTATAGCTCAGCATTCAACACCATAGTACCCTCCAAGCTCATCATTAAGCTCGAGGCCCTGGGTCTGAACCCCGCCCCCTGTGCAACTGGGTCCTGGACTTCCTGACAGGCCGCCCCCAGGTGGTGAAAGGTAGGAAACAACATCTCCACTTCGCTGATCCTCAACACTGGGGCCCCACAAGGGTGTGTGCTCAGCCCCCTCCTGTACTCCCTGTTCACCCATGACTGCGTGGCCAAGCACGCCCCCAACTCAATCATCAAGTTTGCAGACGACACAACAGTAGTAGGCTTGATTACCAACAATGACGAGACCGCCTACATGGAGGAGGTGAGGGCTCTGGGAGTGTGGTGCCAGGAAAATAACCTCTCACTCAACTTCAACAAAACAAAGGAGATGATTGTGGACTTCAGGAAACAGCAGAGGGGTGCACCCCCCTATCCACATCGACAGGACCGCAGTGGAGAAGGTGGAAAGCTTCAAGTTCCTTGGCGTACACGTCACTGACAAACTGAAATGGTCCACCCACGCAGACAGTGTGGCGAAGAAGACGCAACAGAGCCTCTTCAACCTCAGGAGCCTGAAGAAATGTGTCTTGGCACCTAAAACCCTCACAAACTTTTACAGATGCACAATTGAGAGCATCCTGTCGGGCTGTATCACCGCCTGGTACGGCAACTGCACCGCCTGCAACCGCAGGGCTCTCCAGATGGTGGTGTGGTCTGCCAAACGCATTACCGGGGGCAAACTACCCGCACTCCAAGACACCTACAGCACCCCATGTCACAGGAAGGCCAAAAAGATCATCAAGGACATCAACCACCCGAGCCACTGCCTGTTCACCCCGCTATCACCCCAGAAGGCAAGGTCAGTATAGGTGCATCAAAGCTGGGACCGAGAGAATGAAAAACAGCTTCTATCTCAAGGCCATCAGACTGTTAAATAGCCATCACTAGCACATTAGAGGCTGCTGCTGCCTATTGAAATCACTGGCCACTTTAAGAAATGGAACACTAATCACTTTAATAATATTTACATATCTTGCACTACTCATCTCATATGTATATACTGTATTCTATTCTATAATATTCTACTGTATCTTAGTGCATGCCGCTCTGTCATTGCTTGTCCATATATGTATATATTCTTAAATTCCATTCCTTACTAGATTTGTGTGTATAGGGTATATGTTGTGAAATTGTTAGATATTACTTGTTAGATATTACTGCACTGTCAGAGCTAGAAGCACAAGCATTTCGCTACACCCGCAACAACATCTGCTAAACACATGTATGTGACAAATCAAATTTGATTTGATTTGATCAGGGACAATTTTAGCATTTTAGCTTACCCTAAGCCTTTTCCTAACCTTAACCTAATTATTTTAACCTGCCACATTCATTCTCCTAACCTTCCACATTCATTCTCCTAACCTGTTACGAAAAGTAACTTCTGCTAGTCAAAACCGGCAGACCTGCCCTGAGAACAGTCTTGGTTTCCACTAATGCATACAGCTTGCAAAACCTCCTTTTACTCCAAAGGGAAAATGTTTTGCAACTAAAACAAGAGTTTCTGTTGGACAAATTCAGGTAGGTTCTGTTTCATTTGCTTCTGTTTTGTTCTTAAACGGTAAACGGTTTCCCTTGCAAGACATAATGAATACACCCCTG